TCGACGCCCACCACAATACTCTGAACCACGCGTTACATCGCGTTTAAAAATAGAAAAATATACCCCAAAAACGAGACATCAATTACTATGATACCACAGATTTTATCAATTAAAAGTAATACAATCAGCTTATAACAATGGGATAAACAAAAGACGTAAGAACACTTATCGAGATTGGTTTGTTTTCACACCAACTTCTGAATCTAACGAAGCGGTATCGACGCCATCTTGCTTTGTCAAAATTGAGATAGGTGGCGCTCGCTATCTGCTCCGGAATCAGGGGGAGGTAAGTCTAGATTGACGTGTCATAAAATTGGTAAGGCAGAGAGGGAGTTGCTAATCCCCTTCACTATACGTCCCTGGTTGAATGTGAGTGAAAATTATATACTTTACAGAGATATTTTTTTATCCTTACAAAAACATAATTTGCGTTTATCGATTTGTGCAACAATATGTTATCTTACACTTTTTAATCGGCAACAGCAAACATAATTTTTCGTTTCCATGGATAATTTTCTTCTTTGAAAATAATTTATGTTCGAAAATCTCATGGGAAACGTTGCGACGTATTCGGAAGATCGGACATTAAAAAAAATCAAAACTGCTCTAAATTTTGTGTGTGATGAAAATTAAATGGCTTTACATATATTGTTGAAATTAAATAAGCCATTTAAATCATGGAAACTGAAAGCAAAGAAGAAAAAATATCTTATTAAATTGTTCCCTACAATGCATCCTAAATCTGCACTAAAATGTCTACTTGTATCACTGTATGATGATCATTGCTTTTGACGGCGACATGAATTGTATCACGACATTTATGACACTACTACTGATGGGCTGATGATCGATTATCATCTAAAATCAACTGGTTTGCCCTTTCCGATTCCGATTATTGATTACAAATTCCATACACGATATAATCTGTTCATTATTGAAATCAAAGTGTCAAATGTATTCACTGTAAAATTATTTAATACCCAGGTACTGTATAGCGCTTTAAATTCGGAGGGACAATATTTCGTGGTTTCGTTTTCAGTACAAATTAAGGGGGGGTGGGGTTAAATTTCGCTGTGCACCCAAATACCATGTGTCGTGTAAAGTAGAGGTTAAAACTCGAAATACAGGTAAACCTTTTGAAAACACTGATCCCGAGCGTCGTCATCCGCCAGTGACTCCCCTCGAAAGAAATCAAATGTGTATGTACCTCTGTAGGAGTAAACTGGAATCAATTAATCACCTACTGTGTGTACACATAAATATGCTGCTATGGCCACTTATATGTAAGTGCTGTTTTTATATAGACTTCCCAGTTGTCCAGTGATAATCTGATGTGAGTTCATTACAGCGTTGGGTTATAAGTATTTTCAATATGTTGTGATAAGGTCCGTAAAAGTGGTTAACACTTTTGATAATTTCACTGGTGTTTCGCATATATATAATCAATCATCAATCAGTTTACTACTTCCGATTACAAACAGATTATCAATTATGACTTGAACTGACTGCCTATCACTACTTATTCCAATTGATCTAAAACTCTAAAGCTGATACTTTAAAGAAAATTGGTAAGGGTTATTCCAGTAAAAAACTACCTTGGTAACCTAGGTTACTGAAGTAAATCACTTCGCATGCCTATTACTTCTGTGCAAATACATTTTGATTTATTAATTTGGGTGTTTTAGATGTTTTACAGGAAATGAGAATGTAAAGGACATTTTTAACAGAAAGTCAAGTAATTTTGAAATTTGAAATTTTATTGAGTCATGCATAAAGAGATTGCATATAGAGAACGTCGAGTTGCTTTGATCAAGTCCCAGTCAGAAAGATCATAGACGACTCCAAAACCTGCTTTACCAAAATCGTCATCAAAAGTTAACGAAAGATGAACCCCTGCTGATTTCCGATTTATCAGCATTGTATAAACATTGCATGAAGAGATTGCAAATACACAGGTTGCTGTAATATTTAAAGTATATGGGACTTTCTTATCCTTGTAAGAATTGGCCTCAAAAGTATTATTAATAGCATCACTTTACATCACCTACCACATTGTAAATCGACAACTGTACAATGTAAATTTAAAGTTTCTTACATTTTGCTTCCAGCACAGTGTTACTTTGACTTGAAACCGGACCGCTAACAATTAGACACATCAAAGCACCCTGAGTAAAAACAGTAATATAAATACTATTATGCTATTTTATCCGAAAAAAGAAAATGTTGAAAATGAGTCGCTCAATGCCGAGATAATGACCTGTGAAATGTACGATTTTAACCTGACCTTCAATGACTAATTAGCATAATCATAACTTCCGGTGAATTGGATACTTTTTTGACTGCGACGTCAAAAGTTCAACAGTTGTAGAGGCCACCATTAAAGGTAAAGGCAAGAGCGAGAACAGCCATACAGCTTCAGATTGCGAATTTACATAAAATTTGAGGAGTCAGATCATGCTGATAATGACAATGTATTGTATATATATACAATTTAAATTGTAAAAATTAATGTTTATATGTATGTAGCACTTTCCTTATACATTTAAATATTGTATACAGCAGTTACTGATGAAGGAACATATTTGAATAACTTGGGAGTTCGATGTAAAAGGCTGTGAACTTGTGATGTCTCAGATATGGGCTAACCGTATTGAGGCGATCTCTGTTGAGGCAAAGGTGTGTTCTGTAGAAAAATAGAAATATCTCCGAAATGGAGGCCATCATGACATTCACACTAGCGTAATTGTATAGCAAATCACTAAGGGTACACTTTATAAAGATCACAAAATGGATGTTGAGGTGTCAAAATTATCTTCTATTCCTTTTTGTAATGAAAAAAAAATAATGCTAATTCAAATATAATCAAGGCAATGTCATCACTTCAAATTTTTATCTTGATGTGCTGTAGGTAGGCCGTACCACAGCCATGTAGTTTCTTTGGGTGGCTACATACATGATATACGTACTAGTTACTACATTTTATGCTATTCAAGTAAACAATCAAAGGCCAACTTTTAGTAAGTCAAATTCAAATGAGCTGTCATGAACGAGCATGACAGGGCAGGTTAACGTTGTGTTCATTGTTTTCAAATATTTATTTCATGACAGATCACTGGTTTAGTGGTTATGCTGAGAACAAAACTGTTGTTATTCTTGTGTTTGACAGTACACTTACTGCATATAGCTATCAATTAAAAGTATGTACCTAAATTTATATGATCAACTTCCAATCGAAATTTGGTTATAGCAGGAAGTCTGTTCCCTAGCTTATGATAATTGGTTTTGACTTTTACCCAAAAAAGTGACTTTACTCAAATATTACCTGATCTAAAAACAAAATTATGCAAATTATTGAAATTAATACATTGGACATTGATGATTTGGGTAATTAGTTGATTGGGCTACCTGGCATAAAAATCAACTGGTCCAGTAGGCTATCTTGTCTTTATATTAACCCGTGCATATTAAAGTGAACACCTGTAGACTGACTAATGACAAGAAACAGGTGCTTTATCTTTCCGTTACAGTGATAAACAGTTTCTTATGATGACTACTCATTACATGATTATTTTGAGCAAAAATGAAATAAAATTTACATCAAAATATATTTGACAAGTATAACTATTGTGATTCTGCTCCAGATGAAATATTATCTATGTGCAATCTGTGCATAGGTGCTGCCATTATGATCAACAGTTTTAATCTGCACCAGGACTTGTCAATAAAGTGTTCTGACAAAAACTATGGTTGTGTTTTCTTGTGATCTTTAATTGAAAGTGTGTTGGATGTGTGTGTTTGATTTCAAATCGGATTTTAAATGTCAGTTTGCTTGTTTTCAAAATCAGTCATTTTATAAATGAAAATGATGAAAGGGGAAAAAAGAAAGATATCAGAATCATATGGGAATTATCAGCAGGTTTTATTAAATGTTTAGATGTTTCGACTCACTAGGTGGGCCATTGTCAGAACCTTGAATTAAAGTTGCTTATAGACCCCATTACACTGTACCTTTCATTATGCGGACATTGGTTCTCATATTCTTCCCTGTAAAATCAAAAACTGTTAATAAACTAAAATAATAAACAACATGTTTAAACTTGGCAGTGCTATTATATATATACATGTATATACTGAGTAGGTTGCATTGGTGGTGAGACATGTTCTATGATATAAACATTAGTATGCCTATGTGTATGCTGTGTGTGTGCTCTGCAAGATTTATGTTTGAAAAAGTGTTGTATAATTAATACAATCAGGAATGGGATGTGCATAATTTGAATATTATTGGATTAAGATTTGAAATAACATGAATTATCATAAAATGCAAAACGCGATATTTTGCTGTCATTCACTCACCGGAGTAAACCATTTATCGTGATATTTCGTTACCGTTTTTATATCGTCCATGGCTTAAGTATGAAGCATTCAATTTAGTGCTTAAATGTGCTGACAGTATAGGTATGGTATTCAACTTTTACTGCGTGTTTCTCAATCCATGATAAAAACATGTACATGACTGATTACTTCATAGAAGTATAAATAGGCCCTGATTAAAAATACAGACCATAACATTAATCGGGAAAAGGATGTTGTTAAAATTGTTATATATTTATGTATATAAATTCATTGTTCAATGTATGAATTCATTAAATGAAGGTGCACAATATCATACATTTCTACCTCTTAAGTTACACTGAGATTATTAAGCATTAAAATGAAAAATACGGGATTTTCAAAATATTGTACAGTACATGTTTGATCAACAGATGTAATTTGAACTCATGTATTGTATTACCAAGTCTGTAACTATTGCCTACTTCCTCAAATTAACCCATTCACCCCTAACGTCACATTGAAAACTTACCAACTCAAAGCCTGGACAAGTCCAGTTTAAAATGTAGGACATCCTCGATATCCAGAGGTTACGTTCACTTTCGCTCTCTACACCCCTGGAATATGTCAAAGCAAAATTGAAGGCATGAAGATAGCTGTTTGATTGGTCTCGGTTAAAAAAAAATGACCAATCATTAGGCTGATACCTGTCCTTTGAAGATTATAAAGGATAGACGCCCGACTTCAAAGCCTGTTAATTTTTACTGTTACGTAACCGCAAGATTCTTTTGATGTATATTAAAGGATTAACCTAGCTTCTTGTCTCATCAACAAAGTGGCGCACACTGAGCCTTCAATTTTTTGCTATGACAAATTCCAGGGGTGTAGACAGCGAAAGTGAGCGTAACCCCTGGATATCGAGGATGAATGTAGGGGTGAATGAGTTAACTCAAATATCAGGGAATTATTAGCAGCTGACTCCGGTAGTAATTATTCACAGATCAGTTATATATATATGTAGTAAACATTTTAATGTTAATAATAAGTAATAGGAATATAAACTAAGCACTGACTTAATGAAAATATATAAAAAAAAAAAAAATGAAAAAAAGTCTTATGAATTTTTATGTACCAGTATGCTCATGAATTCTGTTATAAGTATAATGAATTAATTATTCTCACAATGCATACATACTTGCTTAACATATCACCTAATGTGGAAAAGGTTTTCATTTTCAAATTATAAAAATATGATTAGAAAGCTGTAACACTTTATAACAAGTTATATTATCACATATGCAAAGATTTGTTTTCATCAAAATTTTTATATATATCTTGCAAAATCACATTGTAGTAAAATTAATGAAAAAGGACAGTGCTTTTTTCTCCTCAGAAAATCATGATCCAGATTTTCAACTTCATCTTCAAATATTTTTTAGGACAACATATGAATTAATCTTCCCTATTAATTGGAAAAAGAAAAAGTTGATGGAAAAATCGTAGATGACCATTAAGATAAATATGGATCATAATTGTCTGATGATGTGTCCGAAACTAAAAGCAAGAACTAATGAGGAGATTTTATCGTTTTCTGCATTTTTGTAGGTATTTCGATCCACGAGCGAGGGTTTGGGTTTGTCCAGTTTGAGAAGGTAGACGACGGACTGAGAGCCGTAGAGGTAGAGAACGGAGGATTGCTGAAAGGAAAGCGAATCGGTAACTATGACCATTCTCAAATTAATAGATTTGTGTAGCTGGTACTGGTGCAGGGCTTTGTTTTGGATCATTTCAGTCCCAAACAGCCCTGTCTCTGATGAAAAATAGTGACATTATTTGCCAGAATAAATTCTAAATATATTGTGAATAAGGGGGTCTTAAGTCTTTTAAACAACACAAAACAAAATTGTTGGTGTAATTAATAAAAAATCCCAGTTTGGATTACTGCAACACATTTTCCCAGTCAAAGGCTCCATTCCAAAAGTACTGGTTTTGTTTATGTATGACTTTATAATGGTCGACAGAATGATTGATCAGTGAACTTCGAGATGTGTTTCACTGTGAAGGGGAGACCCTAAGAAACAAACAATATGTGAGCTATAAGAAGTTATTAGTATTCATGAGAGGAACAGTAATTGTGACCTCAAATCAGATGATGTCACTGTTTAGTCTGGCCACCACCATCTGGGTCCATTTACAATTATAAATGTCTGAAATTTACTTTGAATTTTCTGTTAGACAATCCGTCTACAGGAAAGTATAGTGTTTTTTGGATACATTGAGAAACAGGAATATTCCCAGGAATGTTGGTTCTCGACCAGTCATACTTCATTAAACACAAAGTAGTCAACCTGAATCTGGACGGGATTCACATGCATCATTACCAGTGCAGAGTTACAGCAGGCTTATTGTCAGATTACAGAGCAAAGTGTTTACCAAAAAGATGTAGTTGTTTCACACTTAAACATTTTACTTGAATGCATGTTTGGACTGTAAAATTATGTAGACACAATATGCACAACATCTCTTTTCATCGTCTGATGTGATTTTATATAGCCAAACACCTTCAGACTACCATGACTTTAAATACTCCTCTCAGATGATGGTAATACAGGACTCTTTCATGGGTGTGTGTGTTTGGGGAAGAAAGTGAAATGTCACCCAAGGGGTTATGAATTGAAAGTAAGATAGACCCCTTTCATAAATCCTATGTTGAATTTCCCAATGTTCTACATACATAATGTATAAAATGAGAACAGAATATATTACCATGTTGAATTGGCTTTATTTTTGTAGACGTCAAGATGGCAATGGCTGGTAGGAGATCAGGCCCTCCAAAACCCCCAGGAGGACCTGGAGGACGATCACCACCCCCTGCAGGCTATGACCGTGACCGTGATCGTGACCGTGACCGTGACAGAGGGTGAGTGTCTTAGGAGTTCCTCTATGTCATACATGGCTACACACGACCAATAGCCAAGCAGTATGTTACAAACTGGAACAAGATTAATAGTTCAAGCAGCTACACTGGCTACACAATACCATAAGTCACTGTAGTATGACAACTTACTACAGAGGAGTAACAGTCCAGTGTGCCACACACTGGCTTAACAGAATCAGTTGCCATAGCAATATGCCACACATGTACACAAAGCCAAAAGTCACAGTAACACAAACTGGTACCAGATCAGTAAGTAGCCTAGTCAGTGTGCCAAATACTGGCTCCATTACAATAATAGTCTAGCAGCATAACATTCACTGGCTACAGAGAGGATCATCAGTGTGCCACTCACTGGCTACAGAGGACCATCAATGTGCCACTCACTGGCTACAGAGGACCATCAGTAGCTCATGCTATGAGCCACACCTCGGCTACACAAAACCAATATTGACATTAAATGAATAAATCTATCCTGGTCACATTTCACACTTCTGTTGATATGCACTGACACTGAAGCTTACGAAACTGCCCAAAGAACTGCCATTTGTGTTGATGCATTGACGGTCCTTGGCAGGTATATTGAGGCTAAGTGATGTATATGAAACTGCAATGATGTAGCAATTGACACTGGTGAGGACAGGGACTGATTTAGATGTTGATATTTTTGCATTATAGACACTGTTTGAAAGGTATATAGAATGGTTCCAATTACTGCTATGAGTGTTGGTATATTGGCACTGTTATCCATGGATGTTATTTATGTGAAACTGTGCTTAGAACCGCTATATATATTTGCTCTATTTTGGAAAATATGGAACTTTCCCAAGGACCGCTAGTGTGTTAATGTATAGATCTATGCTGAAGATTTCGGATGTTCCACATCCGTAAATCACCTATGCAATTGCCAAATGCATTATGCCTGATAAGTTCATGATGTGTGTAGGTGTAGTATGACTGTTGTGGGAGTTGATGTATTCAAACTACTTTGAAGGGATGATGTATTTTGAAGTCCTGTTGTGCCTCTCCTTGCTAGATTGCCACCTCCTCTACTTGGGAGAGATGGGCGGTTGAATCCACTTAGACTTGGGGCAGTGGATCCATCTGATAAGGAAAGGTAACTGCAGGCCAGCAGTTAAGTGTGTTCAGTATCGGCTTCCACTCTGTATCTAAATGCATGTGTTGTTACCTTTCAGATTATCCAGGAAATGTGGATGATTTTGTAATTTTGCTACATCTGCCAATGGTCAATAGAGCTATATATAATTGGACATTTTTCATAGTATATTATTGGAATCCTCTTAAAAGAATTCAGAAAATATGTCTACAAAAGTAAAAAATAAATAAAGTCTGCATATTTTAGCCTTGAGCTCAATTTTGTTAGCCTTGAACCAAGGATCAAAACTGAAATATGCTCACTGGCGCAATCAAACACCTTGCATGCTGTTTTATTATTTGCAAAAATGCCTCCGTTTTGGATTTTTAGCAATTATCATTCAAATACAAAAAAATGTTATTCTTTGATTGTTAAAGATGAGCAAAGATCCCTGATACCTAGTTATAGACCTGCCATGCTTTATTTAGAAGTAGTTGTAAAACAGAAGTGGCCTATGCTGTATGGTTTTGACTTGTCATAGGTAGAAAACAGGATTTTAAAATTTCAGTTTTAAATTGCATGTGAACCAGTGTTGTGGCCTGATCAAGTACAATTATGTTCATTGTAGTATGCACGTCACTGTTGATTTGTGTAAATCTTATTTGTGTATTCAATTATTAATAAAATCCATCCCTGATGTGAGGTATGGGTAAGGTTATTCAAACCCAAGGGATACAACATTGAGCAGGAGACCCAAGGCTTTGCCTAGGGTATTTTGCTCAATATTTTATCCCGAGGGTTTGAATGACCTTATCCTTACCTCACATCAGGGATGGATTCTATTTCTTGCTTATTACCTAAAACCCGTAAAAACAGCTGCTCTTTTAGTAAAGTTGTAGAATGTCTGCACATTTCTCATTTGCATATGCCGCACGGATGGCAATTGTTAATGGCATCAATGACCCAGACTGACCCAAAAACGTCATAGTATGACGTCACGAAGAATAGCGTGACCCCGAAAGGTCACTATAATTCCACCGCCAGTCTGTGCGTGTAAGCGATCTAAACTTGTGGGTCGGATTGAATTTTCCAGTACCGCCGGAAATGCAAATATCTTGGTCTAGTATGCAAGAAATTGTGTTACAACCCCACAGTTTGGTACTTTTAGAACGATACAATAAGTTTGTCTCTAACTCCAAAGGAAATGATATTAGTTTTCATTTTAAGGATTTCTGTCCCATTACTGGCAAAACACTGGAGAATTTTACTGTAGATTTTTTTTTACAATAACTACAACTCCCACATGCTGCACCCTCTATAGGTTTTATACTCTGTCCTTCCATCCGTCCACAGAGGTTGTCCGAGGCATGTCTTCTAGACAATTTCACCATTAGTAACCAGATATGGTATGCAAGTACATCTTTGACTAAGGATGACACAGTGTCAAGTCCAAAAAGTAGGTCATTGTAACCTACTTGTATGCTTTTACCTTTGACCTCAACCTTTTTAAAAAGTTTGTTTGGGTCATATCTCCGATACTATTTCACCTGGAGTAATCAGGTTTGGTATGCATGTATGTCTTGGCTGGCGGACTGCGGAGTACAAGAAGTATGTTACTGTGACCTATAACCTTAGATAGGTGTACAGCTTGGTAAATGAAGAAATCTTTACTAATGGGGGACTGTGGATTGCTTTGCCATATATACTGTGTTTTTGTGGTTTTTTAGCTCACCGAAAAGGGAATAGTTTTTTATTTTTATTTTGAAGTGCTCCGGGCCGCCTCTTTTTGTTGATTAGTCACTCTCATGTAATTTGCATAACCTACAAAATGGCGTCGCTCAGGTAGAAAATTTTGAACCATTGAAAAACCAAGGACTCTACTGATGGAATGTAGCAGCTGTTGGTGATAATAAGGGCAGTTTTGGATCAATAAATAATCCATTTATCAATTTATGTGAGGTATGTTTTGTGTCATAGCAGATTTGTTGTTGTCAGTACCTCAAAACTCTCCAATACCAAACGGTGTTAGAGAATTCCACGCTTTTACATAGTAATATAATGCACTCTGGCCCCACACCAGACATCTATCTGTCAAAATTTCTAAGTCTTGTGTTGGGGCCAGAGGAAACTCAAGCTATAGATTCCTCGTGATTCTTTGTTGTGCATGTTTCATTTTCAGCTTGATCAAAGGAAAATATGGCCACATTGCAGATATCTTGATTTTAATGCTGAATTTTCTTATCACTTGATTTGAGAATTTGAGATTGCTCAGAAAAAGAGGACCATACATTTGATACATTATATGGGTGTGTCAGTGTGTTAATTTGAGTGACCCCATCATCTGTGGTAACCATCTTCATCTGACCATAGCTGTTGTGATGGCAATTAACACCAACAAACTAACTAGCAAAACTCATAGTCCTATCATTTATATAATATCAAGCACCTGCTGGGGACCCTATTTCTAGTAATAGACTGTCATATACTGCTGCTTATAATGTAAGGATTACTGTGTAACTGCCTGTATGTTGAAACTAATAAAATGATTCTTAACACATGAATTGTTCAACCTGTTGGAAACATTTATACAAGATCCTCTATGTGTTGACAGCTACCCTCCACCACCGGGAGGTGGCAGAGCCCTGCCTCCTGAACGGGAAAGGTCACCCCTGAGAGGTGACCCCTACGAGGACCGGTACAGAGATCCTTACAGAGATGCTGCTTTACCCCTACCCCCTGTCCGTAGGGATGACCCGTACTACGACCGTGACCCCTACAGACGTCCACCCCCACCTGATGACCCCTACTTTGACAGATATCGAGATGATCCCTACAGAGTGTAAGTGTATTGTTTAGATCTAATTATTTATTGCTGATAAACCACAATAGTCAAAGTCCTTTTGAACATCGAAAATATTTTGAGATATTTTAACGGCAGGAGTATTCAATATCCAATGAATTTTATAAATATACTGCAGCGGTTCCAAAACTGTCAAAATATTGAGTTGTAAAAGATATGTTTTGATTTTACACACATCGCCTAATGAATTAATCATTACATCATTCCAAAGTTTATATTTTTCTTTTAAAATTTTACTTCAGCAAAGCAATTTGTGCAAAATTAATTCACTTAAAGCTTATTTAAAGTGGGAAATGTTTTATTAATCAAACAATGTATTTAATATATGTTTTTTATTGCAGACCAAGACGAGATCCTTATGCTGACCCCTATAGAGATCCCTACTTCAGAGAACCCTACCCATCAGCTTATGATCCACCTCCACCACCAAAACGAACTCTTCCCATTGACTGTGAAGTTATCATCCTTAACACACAGCTTAAGTAAGTCTTGATCAGCCTCATGAGATACACAGCTTATTAGGAATTTTCTTTCATATTTTCAACTTCATAAATGAGTTCACAGATGCAAGCTTCAAGCAACAGCTAAAGCTTGCATCTGAACTTGAATGTTAAATCATTCATACATTCACTGTACTCAACTTCATCTTCAAAAATTATGATAAAAAATACACAGCACAAGGTTCATGTTATAGAGTACAGGAATAAGAATTAACTGCATAATTCGGATGATGATGTTAATGTGATTATTTTTATTTTCTGGCATTGAAAAAATGATATTTGACTACACTCGTAAAATATCAATTTCACTTCAACTTCATACATTAACCAGACCTTTAGACTTGAGAAACATTCATCGGGATAAGGAAAGAAGATTGAAATAAGTGATCTATTTAGAATGATACCATGTTGATGAAGTCTTCTTGCTTTTGATGTTGTAGGAATTACGCTGAGTTTTTGGAGAGAAAGTTAAAGGCAATCCCATTATTTTCCAAAGTTGTTGTGATTTCTGAAGATCGCACAATTCAGCAGATGATAGAGGAGGCTACAAAGCGAAATGTCTTGTTTGCAATTGTTGTAAACAGCCAAAATGAAGCGCACCAGTCTTTGACGCTGAACATACTCCATGGGACACCGCAAGGTAAGTACTGTTTTGTTTTTATGGTTATGGTACTGTCTATCTCCTATAACACATCCTTGACCAGTACTGTAAACAGACTTTTATTAGCACAGATATGTGATTGTAGCATTGAAAACACCTGGCAGTAATGACAACAAGTGCTAGTAACTTCAGTTGTAGGTTACAATTTTGGGGTGTACAGATCGGTGCACGCTGATCACAGCACAAAGTTCTTACTTAAGTATGTTTACAATACTGACGACTCGGCTGTTTAGTCCCTTAAATATCAGATGGTATGATGCAGACTATATAACAGTGTTAACAGAATGAGAGAAATTTCTTGTTACAATTGGGAGTTCAAAATTGTGTGCTTGGCAGAGACACCATAATGAAATTCAATACAAGTTATGTCAGTCTTATTGTTGAACCATGTGTGTTTGTGAATTGAATTATATTATCCCAATATATATTTTGATTCAACAAACCTACCTCAGCTTTCAGTTCTGAAAGATTGAGCTTGTTGTGAATATTGTTGTTACCCAGATGTTCTTATTTTGAAGGTTTAGTAATACCATTTCTGTAGTACACATTGAGATTGCTGTCCTGTTCAGAAACTTTAAATACATACCATCACCACTGTGGAAGCTAACCTATACCGATTAAAACGTGGCAGGAGGATGTGTAAACAGTGAAATGGTTGTGTTTTAGAGGAAGTCAATGTATAACCTATCAGAGAAAAATAACCGTGGTTGATTACACTTTAAACTTTTACGAAAAACTTTGCGGTATTTTCTTCATTGTCTTCTGACTTCAGCAGTATTTGCAGCATACCTGGAAGAAAATTTTACAAAACACGCCGGCCATCATTGTCGTGTTCATATACCTTGAAATAGTTTATCTTAATTCATATGAAACAACTAATCGTGCACAAATACCAAAACTGTAAATATTTCAAGACATTTGACGGCTTTGATTCTGACAAATTCTTCTGTGTTGTCAGAATTTCCCCTAACAGTAAAAATTTGATCGCTGAAATAAACTTCAATACTGAATGAAACCCTTTGTAACCAAGGCCATTAAAATGATTATACGAAATAATATAAAAACCCAGAAAAACGGAATGAAACAGGATGATTAAAACAATGCATGTCACTCGATCCGTTTATAAAAAATTCAATATATCTTATACCCAATAAACTTTCATAAAACCTTTTTTTTTAAACAGATCATAAAAATATTTCATTTAGCAAATATTTAAAGAAATATAAACTTAAAACATCGAAGCTGATCACAACTGGACTTTTGTGATTTGGTCCAAATAAAATAAATAAAAAAAGATAGTCGGCTTTTTTATAGTCAGTAAAACGAATTCTGCAGCTCTGCGCTTGCTCGTAATATTAGAAACGTGCTATTTTCAGCGTATATTGCCAACAAGACTTTAAAAGTAAAACATCCGTAAGTGGTTCGATGTAAATGTGTGACACTGTTTTAAAAATAAATCGATTATAAAAAAGATCATATAGCAAAATTTAAAAACCACGTATTCGGACTTTTCGAGATATTTTTTAACAATTTACACAAGAAGATAATGTGACCAGCAGAAGGTAAACAAAAAATATCATGATAAAAGTGCACAAGTAACACCAACATTTTATGGATTAAATACTGGAACAACTGATTATGAGGTGATGAATTTTATGCATTAATGTTGATTGATACTGATTTTAAACATGATTAATAAAGTTTTCATGGTGTATTTGATTCTTTGAATGTGTCTTTGATTTTTGTATAGAACACAGAAATATGCCAGTAGAAGATGCCGTAACATTGATCAGTCGGAGTTTTGATCAATACACCAAAACGTCCAGAGAGAAAGCTAGCGTGGCCGTTCCTGCAGCCCCCGCGGCACCCGCTGCTGCCGCCCCAGCCCCTGCTGCCCCCGCTGCAAGGAGTTCTGGCCCCTTTGTACCCCCTAGCTCAGATTTATTATATCTGTTGAATCTCCTGGCCGACAGTAGACAGCTGACAGTGGAAGAGCTAGATAAAGTTATATCATATCTTCATGAAAGACGAGAGAAGCAAATGGGAGCAGATGGCCGTCATTTGCCCAGGATGGAAGATGGTAGGTATTTTTCTTTGCATGTCCGGTAATTGAGTGTTCGTTTGTCTACAGAGTGAGTGAAGGAGGTTGTAGTGGCTGATCTCAAAACCGCATGTTTGTTTTATTACCTTCACAGTGTTAAAAAGTATGAAACAGTATTGGTTTAATATTAAATATGTTTGAATGATAGCTAAGATTAGAGTATTACTTTTGTTTGTTAGGACTACTTTGTTTTTGGATAACAATTGTTTACTTGTGTTGTAGGTCGGGGAGGCTATGGAGAACAGAGGAAAGAAGAGTCGGCCACTCTACAAAGGGAGCAACAAGAGCTACAGGCAAAGATCCTCAGTATTCTAAATGGCCCTGGCGAACTTGGCCAGGTAGCAGGGTTGCCCAAGGCTCCTCAACGGTCAGGCCATCCAGCACCACTTATGGGTAATGGTGCATCACAGCAAGGAGGGCAGGGCGGTATGTCATCCCTCATCAATTTCGACAGTCCCAGTGTTCAGAAGGCACTTGACAACCTCATCCAGAGTGGGCCCAACTTGCTGAAGACCATCTCCACGCCCCAAGGGCCAACAATGGCACAAAGGGCCCCACTGATGTCTCGTCCTGAGCACACGCAGCAGCAACAGGGCTTATTGTCACGCGAGTCATTCAGCGGGATGGCTGGAGGAATGATCAGTGGCCACGGTCCTGCTGGAGCACCACCTCAGCAGAGACCCCAGTATGGTCAACAGATGGGGATGCAAGGAGTAGCACCTAGACAGGCACCTCCTCCACCTGGTCGAAGGCCATTTTGAAATGTTAAGAACAATGTCTAGTCTTCAGTCATCATCACTTAAATCAGACTTGGATAGCATAGTTGTCATTTTCAAAACATTTCTTGCTTTTCATGAGTGGATATTTTACTGATCCGAATGCCCATGTTGTTATTGTTGTATAAAAGTCATCACTTTCACTGATAATATAAATTGACGCTGGAATTTTACGTAACCTTTATGTCAATCATGGCTTCTTGTAGAATTTTTTAATGTACATTATGTGAAATTATTTTACCATTTCTTGTAAAAGTGTCGGTTACTTATATGGATATGAAAGTGTGTAAAAAGAACAAATAAAACATGTGACATTGCGCTTGTGTTTTATGTGTATGCAAGTACAAGAAAATTAAAGAAAAAAAGGAAACGCCATTTCAAAAGATGTCATTTGTTTATGGATGTGACAGATTAGTTGTTTTTGAAGTAACTTTTACAGAAGGTTGAAATTTTGTTCCTCCGAGTTAAAACTGAAGCTGGTGTCAAAGGACAAAGCAGGCTATGATTGGCACAGATGTTAAAATTAGTTTTTGAAAGTTATTAAAAGTAAATTAAAAGCCAGGCTTAAAAAATCATTATAAACAAGAGGGGTTCAAGACTTCAAAAACTATTCTGATGCACAACTCCCTACAAAAAAAAATTAAAAAAAAAAAAGAAATAAACCTACTTTTAAAATATTGTAGCAATTTGTATGTTTGTACATCAGCTTCTGGCCATTTTCAATGTAGATGCCAACACGGGTATGAAGTCTTTTATCGACATGACTAAGGATTTGTCGTATTGGACACTGTTTTTTTCTGGCATAACTATAGTTTTGATAAATCATTTCTGAAAAGAAAACCATACCTTGCAGACCTTTAATGAGAAATGATGAGATGAACAAAATGATATATCAACAACTGTGTTCTCGTGTAAAAATCAGTGGGGCTAGACTGGGATTCAAACCCTGGACCTCGGATTGTTATACTATCGCCCCTACCTATTGAGCTTCCTGGTCAACCAAACTATGCTACAGTTATATCCAAGTGGAAGTTAAGGGGAGGTTACTGTAAAACGGGAACACCACAGTGCAATGGAACAGGGATCCTGAAACAATTCATTTGAATTTATTGTGTTGGAATAGTCTTACTAACAATTTCACGAAAGCAAATCAGCACTGTCATTAATGCTAGTTGTTATTCAATTTTTGTAAGGCATATTTTCTAGCAGAATTGTTCAAAATTGTAAAATCATGCACATATGTGTTTTGGCAACACCTGATGTAAAGGAAAATAATACAAGATAATAATAAAAAGAAACTTTTGAAATAAAAAAAATGAATGTTTAAAGTAATGATAAAGGGTTGTACAATATAGTCAATGCATAAAAATATCGTCAGTGAGTCGACAGGTTAGTGTACTAAGGGGTAAAATAGTTCTTGCAATGCTTTGGACAGACCTGTTACTTAAACAGATGATAGAATTTATCACCTTTTTAACAAGGTTGACCTGGGATTTTGTGGTTTAGTGATTTTCGTTTACAAAATGCAAAGCAGACCGATGTTTAGATATGTGTTTTATCTCTTGGATTTTTCTCAAATGATGTTATGTTATTCTGGCTATTTGTTACAGAAAAGGGATAGAGTATATGGAATATATGAGCATTACAGATTTCTAGGAGTTGAAAACAATCCTGGGTAAACAAAGAATTTGTGTTTTTGTCCAGATTCGATATTATTCTTTTAGAAGTTTTCAAGATGAAGTTTTATATATAACAATGTAATTATTAAAACAATATGAAACAAAAGATAAAAATATGACTGCATGTTCAATTTGCAAAGAAGAGAACACGCCCTCATACCGACTGGTTCAATTACTCCATCCTCTCAGCCCTTGTCTATTTTTTCTAGAAGAATTTGAGCAATTCCACATATACAGATGAAAGATTTGTGATTTCCTTCAGGATTTTGATTCAAGAACGAAAACTGGGGCAAATCCACTACACAACATAAAACATTTTGTCACTTCGATAGTGATATTGGCACATTAACACACTATAAGTGGTGGTTTTCTCAAGTAACCTTTCTGATAACCTTGGTTTGGCCCGTTATATTAGCCAACCCAATTGCCATTTGGCGCCCAACACAACAAAATCTGATAATGAAATGGTTCGTGCGTATCTTGCGTTAGTAAAATATGTTGACGGTTGCAGCGGAACCGGAATGAGTAAGTCGCCGGATTCAAATGTCTGTCTCGGTTATTGAATGACACTATAATGTATAAGTTTTGTCCGCAAGCAATTCCTAATTCTTACACTCTTCGATCGTTTCCATGTGATCCAAATATTGTGAGGACAGCTCGACAGGGTAGGTCGCCGTGGACCCGATATCGTGCCGGTAAAGCCTTATCTGTCCAGTTCTAAAACAAATATTAATCGGTAGAAAGTCTCCTTGATTGTTTTTGATAACCGTTGTCAGAACAATTCATGATTTGGGTAACGTGTAAAAACGGTTCCTGCTGTCTCGTCTAATACTCAAACCCCCGAATGGAAACTGCAAAAAAAAAAAAAATTTAAAACCGAAACCTTATCAAATTCCACATTGCTCTGCGAAAAAAATCGAATGTGTTTATTTTTTCAGTTTTCTTTCTATGTTGATATATGTAACTGCTATTTACACATGATTAAATCACATTATCTGTTTCCAAATTAACTTTGGAATCGTTCCTATCTAAATACCAGCTCCAATGTATAGAAGGCCGACATACCTCTCAAGTTTATGATCATCTCCCTTTACAAAGTGACTGACTGTGCTGTCGCTTGTTTTGTAAATATATTGAGTTGTAAGTTACATTAAACCAATCTGGAAAACATTGACCAATCACTTGTAACCATTGTTTTGTGAGTCCAAATGCCGATGTTTTACTAGACGCTTGTATTCCGTTGTGAAATATTTCAGGTAATGAGTTGTACGCATGCACTCATGAAACGAAACCGCGCGAAAATTGCATAAAATGATTTCAATACCAATTAACATCGTTGATTTAGTGTTTCATGGATTGTTTAGCTTTTGAACCAAACACCTCATGATTTTATGATGTACATTATGCGAATGGATGTAAAATTCTTAAAATCGAACCTCCCCATACAAACAAAACGGCGCCGCCGCTAAAACGAGTTTTTGTCGGTAACAAGCGATTTGTGTTTAAAAACCTCCAAAAGAACTCACATTAAAAAAAAAAAACGCCTAAAAGATGCATGTTCGTATTGCCGAGTCCATTCAAGAATAAAATCGAATCTGAATTGACAAGAAATAGATAAATAAATCATATACCAGAAGCTGTGTGACTTCCTCGCCAAATAATGGTGAAAATACACGAAGATCGACGCATCAAGATCAAGGTGAAGGCATGCGAGTTCAGAATACCATAGATGGGATACCTGTTTCTAGCTGATGGGTAGAGTTCCACCTGAAGATGACGTTCATGACACTGCTCTCAGCTGATGAATTGAGCATCACTTGAAGATGTGCTTTCGTTTCATGTAAGTTTGTACCAACAACACTGAAATATTAACTGCGATAACTCCATGTGGAAATGCTACCGAGTGGGGCAGTATAATATGTGTTTAATCTTTCAAGAACAAAATTTAACAAGAAGGCAAATACCCGAAGTTTATGTAACATTAAATTGTAAAAACAAACATCTAATAATATTTTTGTTAAATGTTAAAGACATTGCCTAATCTCTTTTTCTTCTTCTATGTACAATACGCATAAAGAGAGTAAAACTAGTATTCGCAACAGACGAGTGCCGAAAAGTGCTGTTCATGGAAAGAAGGCCTTTATATGTTGATTTTAGAGAAACATTTAAAATTGAACATTGATAAAAGCAATGCCTTTTAAAGTATGTCAATAAAAAAGGAATAGTCATTTGGTTTTGTATTTATTTTTGTTCGAAAATTCTATCTTCTAATGTAAATTTGGAGATTACTTTAAATACATGGTTAAAACGCATGATCGAATGTGAAGTCGAAAATTGATTTCAAATTGTAATATTAAACAGATCATGCTTTTTATGTCCGTTCCGACTCAACGCTCATCACGCATGTAACAATCGCAATTAACACGCTCAACAATGTTTTAAACACTTTCCAAACTCTTAACACAAAGTACAGCGACAGCGCATGTCACCACGTGTGATGTAGTCGACAAATAGAAGAATCCGAAACTCCGTAAATACAAAAAGAAATAAGTTAAAAAAAACATGTTCTTATAACTACGTGTTTGACCATTGACGTTTCCCCGGAACACTATAGATAACAAGTTGTTACGCGTTTCTACAAAACGTTGATATCCAGTTTTATCAGATACCTTGCAAGTCTGAACTATATTGATACAGCCAGTTTTCAGAGACGTATCTGTTGCAATGCACTGATCAAGTCGACGAATTGAAATATGAAAGAGTTCCGAACATTTTAGCACCAATTTCAGCTAAACTAGCGTGTTGTCAGTATTCCGTTCTCGACGTCGTTAAATGGGCCATTGTTGTTTCAAACTTTCGAGAAGCAAACTGAACATTAACACGGGGAAATGATGAATGAGGGTTGGCAGAAAATACCATATGTATATAAAGAACAATTGTAGGTACAGTTAAAAAACCTCTATAAATCGAACGAATTTCTCGATGTGTTGAATATTTTCCCATTTATACATGTAACACTACTAATATTATATTCATGAATCGAACTTTTATGAGTCGAATTTCTCGCTGTTTTGAGTATAAGTAAGGCCCGTTTGTTACGAAAACAGTCGCAATTACAACTAATAAATCGGAAGTAAAAAATGTCCCTGTACGAAATTAATGAAATGTCACGTTCAATTTTCGGTCTCCAGTGAAAAGTACTGGTGGCCATGTTGACACAACCCGGTATTCATTATTTGCAGGTAATAAACTGACACTGATTAACGCAGTATTGTTTTCTTAAAACAACAGTGTGAAGTATTTATGACGCAAAGTGATAGTAAATATAGTGTTGAAAGTACTTTTCAATTGTAAACATAGGCTTATGTCAAAGAAATTGGCTTACCAAAACGCTCTATTTCGCGGAATTCTGGTCTAAGGCCATGCGACAATGAGCTGTATCTTTATTAGTTTGTGATGCTATTAACTTAATTGTGTGATTTTTAATAAAATCGATTGTAACATAACATTTTTTCTGTCGAAAACACGGCCAACGGGAATCACTGTCAGCAACATGGCGCACGTGATGGACCACATCAAAACGGGATACAGACTTCGAAAAGTAATTGACAAACGAAAAAAAATTGAATTTGATAAGATCACAATGCAAACCACAATGTGTTAATAAAAAACTATTGTTATTTCCGTCAAGGTATA